TCTATTATCTAGGTGTGGTTTTAAAGTTCTTGGAAATCAGTTCTTAAAATATATTTCAGTGCCCCTTTAAATCGTGGTAATTTGTTTTCCTCCCTATAGGAATCTCAAGAAGCAAACAGCACTCACCTTGTGGCAAAGGTATTTAAGCTTACATGAAATACGTGTTATTAATAGTACTTGAACCGAGTGGAGCAAAAGAATTATCCAGGGAGCAATTGGGCAAGTAATTTTGAAATTGGACAAGGGTGTTAACAGAAGGCTAATTAGAAATTGCTCTCTGAATTGTGCAACATGAGATCCAGATTTTAGTGCTAATAAATCATATATAGAAATATGGAGTTTGAGAATAAGATCTTCTTTTGAGCAGAAAAGTCAGTAGTATTTTTCACCACTTTCACTCAGAGTGAGGAAACAATAAGAAGAAAGCCATTAAAGGGCACACAATTGAAGATGCTAGTGGAAAACCCTCCTAAGTGACTATTTAGGTCAAAAAATTTTTTTCGTCAAAAGTGCCCGATTTTTTGCATATGGCTTTCAATTTACTTACCTAACAATGCCTTGCTGTTTTTTTCTCCAGTTTGCTTTTCGTTTTCGAGAAAATCGAAGCCAAAATATCCAAGAGTCTTTGAATGGTGTGCAATGAAGCGAAACAAAAGGAAATTTTTATGTAAATTTGACAGCTTCTGTTAGCGTGTATTACGTGGCTCAAGTGATTAAAGCGCGTGCATGTTATGAATTATGGTAGAGGACATCGGTTCAAATCCTGAATTTTTCCCGTTGTTTTTTTTTTGTTTTTTTCCTTGGTTTTTTTTTTGCTCTTCGTTTTATTATATTTTTGTTAACAAGAAAAACCTATTTGTCGATTTAAACCGCCAAACAATGCCAGTCAGATCCGTTGGTTCAACGCTGGCTTCAACATTTTTCCTTTGCTTGACAACCGTCACGGACGGATTTTATGTTGATGCGCAAATGGCATAGGTGTCCGATCATGGGTATGCAGTTATCAAGAGTTGTATTTGGGATGCCTGTAATTGGACACCCACATGATTTCACACCAGTGGCCAATTTCCTCTGTGAGACTTGCCTGCAGGGAATCATGGTAGTTGTATTCCTGAAAACAAATATTCAGTCCAAGATGATGAATACAACTACTGTGATTCCCTGCAAGTACATCTCATAGAGGGAATTATCCATTTCATGACTAATGGGCTTGTGGAGAACCAATCAGAACTGAGAGTTTTGCTATAGATACAGTTATCATTATAATAATATGTGACATTTTAGATTGAAAATACGTAGCATAACCATAACAAAAGAAAATAGAACTTGTCATTGGAAAAAAAAAACTGTAAACAGTCTTGATTTTAGTTAAAGGCTCAAAAAATAAGAAACTGACTCAATAATACACAGTAGTAATGAGTATTAAATAACTTCTTGCTGACAAAGCTGTTTGAAACAAGGAGAAAAAATAATGTATATTGCTTCTCAGGAGTTTCATTAAGGACCAGGCCCAAGGCAAATTGACTGGTTGTGAGGATGATTTTGCCTGCCTGGTTTGACTATCAAGAGGAAAGTTTTTCTTATATTAGACATTCAGGTCAAATAATTTTGCCCACCTATGAAACCAGTTGCCATTCTGCTGAACATGTTAATAAAACCCCTTTGGCTTGTATTTCAGCAAGGGGTTTTATTAACATTTGCTGTTATGTATGTCATTTTCAGAAATCATGGGATATAGCACTCGGACCTTTCAAGCAGATTCCTATGAATCTGTTTATCATGTACATGGCGGGTAACTCTATCTCTATCTTCCCCATCATGATGGTTGGTATGATGTTCCTAAGGCCAGTCAAGGCTCTTCTGGCTGTTAAATCAAGTAAGAATGTTTCCTATCATTATTATTATTTTCTTCTTTTATGGTTAGGATGCGAGTCATGACGTTGCAAGTTGTACAACAGCAACTCCAACTGGTAACTCAGACTATTCATGGGGTTATAACGTAACCCCTAGCAAACACTTGTAACTACAATTATGTCAGCAGTTTTCATATAAATAGGATTATTATTATTATTATATGAACTGCTTATATTGGTAAGCAACTTTTTGGAGAATAATGGTTGGCTCAGTTGATTCCTGAGATTCTCTCTTTCTGACCCTCCCCACCCCCCTCTCTCTCCACTAAATATTGAGAGAGGGGGGAAAACTGCCATCTTCGGTCATCTAGAGAAGGGCCGGGGGAACCTGTCATCTTCTGTAAACAGATTCTAAGTCCCTTAACCTGACAACTTTGCACAATTTTGATAGAACAGCAAACAGCACCAACTGATTAGTCTTCTTGTTATAGCATCCATTTGAATGGTCGCACACTAGGGTTTCATCCACAGGCTTAAAAATTAGAGCCATGTTTAGACTACGAGTAGTCTCTCTTTCACTTAGTCTGTCGTGCGTGATGCAAAAGAAAACCACGAGAAAAAAATGACTGCGCGAAATCCTGGCGGTGAGGAGTGCGCGAAAGGAGGGAATATGGCCTAAGCCCAAGAGTTTGCCCTTTCACAGCCGAGTGATTTTTCGGTGTAGGATTTCCAATCTTGACGTCCTCTCATTATCGCCTGTTGTCAATAGCCCAGGAGATATCCTGAATAAAATTGCTCTACTCTACTCTTCAAAAAGCCAGGCAAAAACATAAGCCGTGAGGAGTATATCTTCATTCAGTATTCGTTCAGCAAAACTGCAAAAGAAGTTTTAAAAAGAAGACGGCCAACGAGACATCAGATAACAATTTTCGCGCGCTCCTCGCCTCCAGGATTTCGCGCGGCCATTTTTGTCTCGCGGTTTTCTTTCCCATCACGCACGACGGACTGAGCGAAAGAGGGACTACTTACTCGTAGTCTAAGCCATGTTACACGGTATAAATAGTCATACATCAAGATTTCATCCACAGACTGAATTTTGCTTTCAGCTTTTGTATCTCTGGAAGGGGAGCATGACCATGTCATTCTTCAAAAGTTTTTCTATCTCCTTGGAAATCTCTCCTTGGTTGCACTGGCCCTGTATAAATGCCATTCCATGGGACTATTACCGACTGCTACCTCAGACTGGCTGGCTTTCATGGAACACAAAACAGTAAGTTAATTTTCAACCCTTAAGCATCTATGTATGTGGCAAAATATAGAGGATGAGCTATTGTTACTATGCACAAAAGTGCCTTGAAAGGAATTGTCAATTGAAAAATGATAGGTTACTAAATGTAGAAAATCACCAAATAGGTGATGATGAACCAAAGTGTAACATACAAATGAGAAAGATTGTCGTAGATAACAAGGGCGAAATCTAAAGGCTGACTCTTTCATAGTGCGCCATCTCCTATATTTTCATAATAATTTGGTTGAATTCCTTGAAGTCGTTTGGTGTCACTCAATAGATTTGCGTACTTGAAGTTGAGGGACGTGATAGAAGCAATTTATTAGTTAAAAATCACCCCCATCAATTTTGGTTTTACTATTGCAATAATGTGCTTATCGGTGTGAAGTTTGCATTTTAATTTTCTATTTTGCAGAGAGTCGAGTATAGTGGAGGTGGATTCATTCTTTAGCATCAAACAAACTGTAATCTAATGCTGCACTTTTCTTTCTGACATTGTACCAAACTATCCGCAAGTAGCCTTCATAGTTGGCTGAGATGATCCATAATGTAGGGCATATTGTACAAAGATCTGCAAGTCCTCCAAGTGTGATGTACTAGAAATTAGATTCGTTCTTCCAAGATGGCACCGGACTACTGGAGACTGGTTATTGTAAACCTCTTGACCTTTTAAGCCATTGGCATGCATGGTTGACAGCCTAAAACGGAATACTGGTACATAGTTTCCTATAATAATCATAAAAACTCTGGTATTTATTTAGGCCTTTAGTGGGCAAGAGAATTGCCACTGAATTTATTGAGTTCTCTATAATAAAATTTTAGTGTAGAATGCAGAAGTCTGGAGAGGAATTTTTCTTGAAAACATACCATTTATGAAAAAGAAAAGCAGCTGCCCAGATTGTAATAATTGTTGGAGTAATTTGTGATAGCTGTACACGCCTGTTATCTGAAGATTAACATTAGCAATTTAAGATGTTACGTCGAGTTTCTTTTTGGAATAAACTAAAGTATCAGTTGACATGTGTGATGTTAGTTGTTGCTGGGGAATCTGAAAGGAAAATAATGTAACATGAATAGGGTTTTCTTTGCTGAGGGAAGGACGAATGATGTAAGATTCTGCCAGTTGCAAACAGCTATGATTTCTCAATCAAGGTTTCTTTTCGTTTTGTGTTGTCTGTCGGTAGTGTATTGGCCAAAGTGTTCTTAGTGTGTCGGAAGTATGTGTTTCTAAGTCTGGGTTGAATGCCCGGCAGTCAGATTTAGAAACACATACGATTGATTCTCAGACGGTCCAGGTCGCCCGCGGCAACACGCTGCATAGCTGTTTGGTAGTTTTATTTTGGTACACTTGTTTATAAGGCTCCGTCCGTCTACGTTAATGTCCCTTCGAAACGACTCCAATGCATGGAAAGATTGGCAAACACACTACCGTTCACGCAGCATTTTCTCCTTCCACACTGAAACGCTTTAGAACGCAGAACTGCGCAAACGTCATTTGCGAAGGTGATGTAAATGATGCCAGCGTTTTTTGAAATCCTCCGTTTTCCCAGCTAATCCGATAATATTTTGATTGAATTTTGTTTATTTGCTCAAATTTCTTTAATTTCCTTTTTTCTCTTATTCCCTCTTTTATTAAACTAGATAATACTCTTTGGTAAGTAGCAATAGTAGCTCGCCCAGAATAGCTTTGCTAGCTGCGAGCTACTAAAGCTTGTAAACCTATTATATAAAATTATATCACAAAAAGTTACTGCTTCTGTTACTGTTAAGTAGGGTTCCGTTTTCAAATGTCTTCGCTCTGGATGGGCATTTCAAATTTATGTGTTTTCAGTTCGATGAAAACAATTAGCGTTTTCGAT